GCTGAAAGTTCAAGTGGTGAAAGAGTGTTTTGAAAGTAAGCAAGCAGTATTGGATAAGTACCTCCCCCTGCGCCTTCCCTCCATGAAATACAAATGCATCAGAGCTTACAGCAGGTGAAACCACAGAAAATAATCAATTATGTGCTCTGATTAATTAACTATGGTCAGACCATAGTCTCAAAAATCAGAGTAATTTTAGAAATGGCCTAAATTTAGTTTTTTCTATTTGCACACAAGTCGTAGTTGACAACGTGCCTCATTCTGAAACCACTTATGTTAACGTTATTAATACTCCTGGCTACCTCCACAGGAATTGTTTAACTTCTGAATAGACCTATTGGCACAAATCACATTGTCTTTTAATTTTCTATCTCCCACAGAAGGGCAAGCTCAGCATGGGCATTAAGCACGCATGACCTACCTTCACGTCCCCAGAGCCTAGCCCAGGGCTGGCTCTGCAACACTGCCCACAGAATGACCACCAATTCATGTCCAGAAGCCACATGGAAGGGGTAATGAAAATTAATGAGTGGAGCCAGGTCCCTTCATCCACAGGCAGCCGGGACAATGGGCAGCGCCTCATGGCACCAGAATGAGAGCAGGAACCCTTACTTCAAAAAGATCAGAACCCACCAGCGAAAAGCTTGTAAATAAGCTACACACGAGTGCCCACAAAAGGGAGGGCAACTAGGATCACAGAGCCAACCTCGGCAAGGCCAGAGAGGAGGGGGAGCTTGGGAAAGCCCTACATGTTCTTTCTTCCCCTCACTCCAACACCAATGGCCTCAAACGACTTTCCCCAAGCCTGGGTTCCTACTGCCTGCCAAGCCAACCTTCACTTATCCCCCTAAGTCCCCCATAGCATATCACATTCTCCAAAGGCTCCCCATTAATCTACAGACCAATCCCAACCTCCTCCACTGTATGGCCAGCTTGCCTCACTTGCCTCATCTCATCTTGTATCACTCCCAGGTTCTTACTTCACACTTGAAACCCACAAAGCTGCCATCGTCTTGTTACCCAACCCCCAGGCCAATGCTGTTTTTCTCATTTTCCTGCTTTTGCTCATGTTTGATTCCTCTGCCAGGAGTACCTTCCCACCTCATCCCTTTCGTGGAAAACTTCAATTTTCATTAGAACTCTGCTTGGACATTACCTCCTCCAGGAAGCCTCCTCTGAACCCCATATCACCCCTGAGTTAGATGCCCTCTCTCAAACTCACCACAACGCACTAACCACACTGAATTATGACCATCTTATTCACATATGTCTCTCACTCCCTTGTGCTGTGAGTTCCTTGAGGACAAGGGCTGTGCCATTCATCTTTGTATCACCAGTACCTAGCACAGAGCTTGCAGAATGACCCAAGACAAGTCATAGTGGGTGGACGGCAGTCACAGTTCTTTCCACCAAGTTCAAGTGCTTGGTCTATTAGCCGCCCTGGTGAGGTGAAATACTTACCGGAAAGACATGAACCACATATGCCTCAATGCTACAAACTGAGGGGCATGTGATTTTACTTGTTTAATCTCCAAAATAAATCTGAAAATTGGAGTTTCCCAGAGACCAGGCTGAAAGACTAGCTCATAACTTATCTTGAGGTTCAGATCAACTGTCAAACGAGAAAGTTTTAAAACCCAACACTGAGCCTCCAACTCTGCCCCACAATGAAAAATAGGGATGAAAAACAAAGTAGCTAAAGTCGGCTTCATAACGTAAGAAAAACGTTTGTGCTTGAGCATCTACACAGACGTGACAGGGGAAGAATTCAAAGATGGTGTTACACATTTTCGCCCTAAAAAAAAAATCAGGCAACTATATATAACTACATGTGTACAGGATGTGTCACCATTTGAAACAGAAAACAAAAATACAATGTCCAACAGGAGAGGATTTACTAAACAGAAAGAGGAATATCAACAGAGGAATACTATGCAGCTGTTCAGGGGACATAAAGCTACTGGAACCGACACAGAGATTTATATGACATACTGCAAAGGGGGGAAAAGCATAATATGGATATTATGATCCTTCTGATTATGTGTATGTACAATCTGGAAAATCAGACGTTCAATTGTTAACAGTGGTACATACCTAGGAGGGGTTACAGGGAACTCTGACCTTGTACTTCCTATACTTTTGTACTGGAGTTTGTTCTTTTTTTAAACAAGCACACTCAACATTCAGAATGGACAAAAATTAAACGAACAATATTGAAAAATAAAAGGATACAGTATAGGTAGTCCTACAAGTTTAAGATTAGTCTCATTATTCTTTATAAAAGCTATTTTCCTTTTTGTCTTTCTTCTAAATACACAAATGTACATACTTGCATTTATTCGGCTGTCCAATGTCCCCCAAAAGCAGACTGGATTTTCTTCTCTACTTTCCAACGCCTGTTCAGAGATGAGCTAAAGACAAAAAGATACATAAATAAATCAGCTGCAGAGGTAATTGCATCAGAAAATAAGAGGACACTTTCATTAAGGAAGCAGCTCAAACCATAAGTGGGCAGGAAAAAGCATTTAGGAGGAAGAAGGAAAAAAGAAAAACAAACACTGATGAGGACACTGAGAGAACAGAGAGGCATCTTAGGGTGTAAAAATCAAAGAAGATACTATTTTCATTGCTTCAAGAAAGGAAGCCAGGGACATTTGCTTCCTGGCATAGGGTGTCCTGTCCAGTGGAAGTGAGGACTGTGTGCCTTTTCCATCAACAACCTCTCTCTCCTGAGGCTGTGAACAATAGTTTAGGACCCCAAAGACGTGCACTTTTATTTCCCATTTCCTTTAGAATTACCCTCCTCCAAAACCAGCCTATCCTAGATGTCATTTTAATGGCAAAGCAGCAGATGGTATGCGAAAGGAAGAGAGCCTGGGGACAAATCTGACCAATATGCTTTCAGTTCACCAACAGATTTAGAGCCATTTTTACTTGAAAACTTAAGGCAGCAATAAAGGCCCTTCCAACTCCAACCTCACCTCAAAATCTAATTCATACTAAACAAGAATACCAGCTTGGTTCTGCAGAATTAAAAGTACCTGGTCCCATTCTTACCACCAGCCAACACCACTATCACACACACACACACACACACACACACAGCTCTGTGCTGTTTTAACAACTTTCCTTGGTGCTCCTCACAAATTCTGTCTTAAGAGTAGAATCAAACTATTTTTTGCAGATAAAGAACCACCATCCATAGTGATCTGTGAGTGGTTTCCAAGTGAACAGGTATTATTATCTCAGTTTTGTTGGTCATTCAACACATTTTATCAGAATCCAGCTTGAGAAAGAGCAAAGTCCCATGCATTACATGGCAGAAGCGGAGAGGGGCCTGAGGAGAGGGAGATGGGTTACCTCTGCGGTTACAAGGCCAGCGTTCCCAAAAGGCTTCACAGTTGAAGTGGGAGATGGCACAAATGAAAGTGAAAAAGGAAAACAAAAATCAGTGGAGTGGGTGTGTCATGAAGTCACTTTCTATGCCTCCTGCTAACTCTGGTGACTAACGCTGGAGAGGGCTGGTTTGGGAAGGCTTCTTCGGCAGTGGGTAAGACTTAGGTAAAAGTAGTAATAGGAGGCCAGGCAGGGGATACAAGTATGAATTTTGATGTGACAACTTTGACTTGGCTATTTTGTCATGGAAAATTTCAACAAAATTCAAAGAACAAATCTTTGCACTTTCAGCTCTAAACATTTACTGTAAGCAATTGTTTTAATGATGTAAAAAATACCCTGCCCTGCATCAAAACAGCAATCTGAAACTAGCTACATGTTAATACTTTGCTTCAGCTCAGAACAGGGGTTCAAGTCCCACATTCAAGAGACTCACTCAACAAGTATTTTTCAGCAGCTCATGCCAGAAGCTGAGCTGTATCAGGAGGCCGCAATGAAGAACAAGAGTAATATGGTCTGTGCTCATGTGGAGCTTACAGTCCTTAGGACTAATAGAATCAAACAAACATGCACAGAAAGAAGTAACCATAAAGAACTTAAAATGCATGAAGGAAGAAGAGAGAGCACACAGTAAGAGGAATGTGATGCAGTATGGGACTCAAGAGGAAAGGAATATTGAGCTGAGATCTAACACCTATCAAGGGAGAACAAAGTCTGGATAAAGGACCAGCATGTGTAAAGGCCCTGCGGAGCGACGGAGCTAGCGTGGTCTCTCCAGCTGCATAAATGGGGATATCCCTCCAGTGCCTTTTTACCCCTGGGTAAAGAACAGCACTTGCCCATTCACACTCGCTAAGAGCAAGTCTGCGGCCTTGCTACCCCACGTTTCCCGCAGCACGCTGCCAAGGATGACCAAAAATCGACCAAACGGGCTCCACGTTTCAGAACGGCAAGAAGCTTGCCCCAGACAGCAAATGGACACAAACACAGAACCGTTTAGAGTAGGAAGAGACCTAAAATTCCAGCTGCCTAGGCTCTTTAAATTTAAATTTAAATTAGGGCTACCACGTAAATCTTTTTAAAACTCACAAAGCATTTTAACACGCACCGTCAGATCACGTGTTACACAACACAGGCGTCATGGGGTTGCTCTGGGCCTCAGGCAAGTTTTGAGAATCAGACTAAAATCACTAGGATTCTATCAAAACCTGTAATCAAGAAGAGTCTGTTTTTTCCCTTATTCTTTCTCTTCTGCAAGCAACACTATATTGAAACCACGTTGTACCTAATTTTCAAATTGACCTTCAGAATTACTGGACAGGATAATAAAACTACGGTATAAGTTTGTGACGCTTAGCCTAGAGGTTAAATTCTGAGAAATCAAGATCAGTAACAGAATTTCTTGACAATATGCATTTACTATGATGTTTTTATAGGCTGATTCAATAACAACAAAATCCCTGCTCTCAGAAAATTGACATTGTAATGATAAAAGTTTTCAAACACCCACAAAGCACTTAAAAGGCATGCTAGGCACCATTCTAAGCACTTAAACCCAAGCTGGTGATCCATTTTATATGAAATGATGACTCATTCAGGATGACAAGTGTTCTTGGGTTCCATAGTGTTTGTGCAATGGCTTCATTCAAATAACGTTTCCTTCTAAATAAACTGAACAATATGCTCTAGCTACTTATTTTTAGAACAAGTAGGAAAAGAGTAAGACCAACTTATAGATACTTTGGATAATTCTGAGAAATCAATTCAAGTTTTTGCTCAAGATAACAAAAAGAAAATTTTTAATGTTAGAAAAACTGACCAGTAGGAATCACACTACCCTTTAAAAATAACATGATTTACTGGGTTCCATTCTTAACTCAAATGAACACACAGACGCTCAGAAAATGGGAAAAATAAAAGTAATCAAAAGCTTTTTGATGATAGTGAATTTTTTCACTCTACTTATAAATTTTCAAGGACTTGAAAGAAAATGCCTTTCTTTCAGTAATAAAGGATTATTTTAGTGGCTCAATATTGCAGATGCTACTTTACATTTTAAAAAATCAGGGAAATTTTGTAGATTCTTGAATTTTTTAGTTTATAAAAATCTTATGCAAGAGGCATGTGTATCTGATACTTTCTGAACGAGGGAAAAATAAGAGAAACAAAACCAATTTTGTGAGTTTAAACAGGACTAACTGCAAAACATGGGACAGCACTATTTCCTAAGATGCAAAATTCCAGAAATCTATGTCCGAAGATACTGGAAGCCTCTTAAATTTTCAAGAACATCTTTAGGAACACGGGTACCTACGTAAGTGAAGAACATAAATTTTAAATTTGAATAGTGATCTATCTAAAGATAGATCATATTAATATTCACAAATATGATGCTCAGAATATGACTGCTTTTGGCCAAAGGCCACTGCCAGATCTGCATGGTTAAAAAAAAATAGACTGGATGATGGTTAAAATCAATGACTAGAATCAAAATAAAATACTTCGGATATTTACTCAAGAAAACATCACATTTATGGATGTCTTAAAGGAAATAAAGTTTTTGCTTTCTAAAGGAGAAGATACAAACAGAAATGGTGATGAATTAAGGTATGAACCCAGACAAAATGAAAAGGAAAATATGTTACTTAGAAAATGTCCTGAAATCAATGCCTTAAGAAATTTTAAGAGTGATGATCTTAAACCTTAAAACTACCTCAGCAGGCACCAGTCTAAGACTGGTGAGGAAGCTTCATGCAACAATATGTACTCCAAGAGGGCAGGGGCTTCTGTCGTCTCTGCTCAGTGCTTTACCATACTAGGTGATCAGTAAACAGTTAAATGGTTAAGAAAGATGAAGGTAACAGAGCAAGCAACATTGCCCAAAGGAAATATCACTGTAATCCAGGCTATGGGTTTTACTGCCTCTATACATGACCAGCAAGTGGACCTTGAGCAAATCATTTTAATCTGAGCCCATCCATTAACCTGAGAGGAAACATCCTGCCCGAAGGATCAAAGAGATCTTTCGAAAAGTCTTCCTTAAACTCCTACAATGCCTTTTTCAAATGAGGCTGTTGATGTAAAAGATGTTAGTGCTAAAGCAATGTAGGCTTTGTGGCAGAGGACTGAAGTGCGCTGTCAAATTACTTAGAACAAAGAATTTGGATTCTGAGCAGAAGCCTGGTCATAATTCAAAGCTCCGTTTCTTAAATTTCAGATGAAACAGCAGAGCAGTCAGGAGTGTGAGCTGGAGTCATCCTGACCTGGGTTTGACTCCTTCCTTCCGACCAACTAGCTACTGTAATCTTAGGCAAGTTTCTTAATATTCCTAAACCTCAACATTCTCAGCTCTGGGGGGAGGGGAGGGGGGCAAGGGGGCGGGGTGGATAAATATAGCATTTATCTCTTAAGAGTTGTTAAGAGTTAAATGAGTTAATGTATATCAAGTGCCTAACACTGAGCAGCAGGCAGTAAGCATTCCTAGCTTGGCCGTAAATTTCTGTTAAACTGATTACAGCTTGAAGGAATGCAGTTCCAGTCGAGGAGAGGAAATTCTAATATAAACGAGCATCTGCAACATCTCATGCATGGAGCTCAGGCTCGCACTTAATTTTCATAGAAGAGCAGGAGAGGTTTTAGGCCAGTGAGTGGGAGTGCCAGGATTCAAACACGTGACTCCTGATTTCAAGGACCTGGCTCTTTCCACAGGGTGGTAAAAATGGCTTTAAAGTGCCCCCCATCATCAACAACACTGTCTTCTCTGGCTTCTTAGCATTCCATAGTCTGTCACCCACCTGGGACGACTGACCTCTTTCCAGGCCCTTCCCTCTAGACACTGAAAGAACCTCATCCACAAATTCATTCAAGTGCCCCTCACCGTGCCTGCATTGCGGCCCACAATTTATGCTCTGCTCTGGCACCACTAGGGTAGGGGTGGAAGGTGTAGGAAGGAAGTTCTGGTGGTCCTGGCGCAGGCCCACCCTGGTGGGCACGGAAATTCCTTTAGGCCTAACAC